GAGAGCAGCTCAGTGGTAGAGTCCTTGATTAGCATGCATAAGGCCCTGACACACGCACAAAGTTGATGAATCATGACAGTATGAACGTAACTATGCAACCAGCACAGTTTTTTTTTTAAAAAGCCAGGTGAGGTGGTGGCAAAATGATCCCTTGAGCCCATGAGTTTGGGACCAGCCTGAGCAACACAGCCAGGCTTCATTAGTCAAAACAAAACGAGGAGCACTGCCAGGCGGCAGCCTTCCTCCTGCCTCTGGGAAAGCACTGAACTGTCACTGCCTGAGGTTCCTTTTGCCTCTCTGGTACTTATATAAAAGGGCTGTATGGCATGGCTCTTTCCCACCTGGTTCTTTGGCTCAACATTCTGTGTGCATCATCCATGGTGCTGCATGCTATAAACTGTTCATACTCACTGCCATGGTGTTCCCATGTCTGCATTCACCCCATTTCTGTGTCCGTTCTACCACTGACCAACTCTGAGTCACTTCCAGTTTTATTGCTTATTAAACAGTGCCACTCTGTGCACTCACTGTAGCCTTATTCATTATGAGACACATCAAATGTTGAAAACTGCCTCTCAAACCTTGGAAAAGTCAATCTGTCCCACCTTTCCAATTTACCCTCTCATTCTTAAAACATGGTCCTTCCTCTGTCCACACAGCAGCAGATAGAGTATTGACCACCAAGGGCAGCCTTTCCAGGGCTAAAGTCCAACTCTCTCCAAGTACTTGCTGTGTGCCTTTTGACAAACGTTTACCCTCTCTCGGTATCAGTTTCTTACCTGTAAAATAGGGATAAGAGTAGTACGTCTAGCTTCCCTTGTTAGGGAATTAAATAAAGGAACTGTGTCTGGGCTCAGTGAACACTTGGTCCATATTAATAGCTTATGATCGCTGCCAAAGGCATCCTTGTCTTTCTTCGCATCTCTGGGGTGCCCTGTTCTGGGTAGTGTCTGTGAACCAAGCCTCTGGCTAGCAGCTGAAGACAAGCAGCTTTGCCATCCCCTGGATGCCAGTGCACTACGTTGTCCCTCTTCCCTGACAAGCATCCAAGATGTGCAGCAGTCAAAGCTTTCAAAGCTTTTACCCATGGGCACTGGGTGTCACTCAAAATGTGACCGAAACCAGGGTCATCAGTCTGGGGTCATTATTAATGGTGTGCCAGCAGCCGGGTGACAACCTGCTGGGGTAACAACAGTACCCAGAAGTCACTGGCTTGAAGAAAACAAAAATTTAATGTCTATATGTCTATACAAAAGGAAAGTGAGGGAAATCTCTCTCTCTCTCTCTCTCTCTCTCTCTCTCTCTCTCTCTCTCCAGGCAACAAAGACAGAAAAACTCCTCCAGGCGCATAGTGCAGAGACCTAGGAGCAAGAAGAGACTTAGACCTCACACTATTGGTTGCCATGGTAACAGGATTTCGCAGCAGGAGCTCATTTTCATATGGCACTAGCCTACAAAAGAAAGGAAGGACATCTTCGAAAGAAACTTAGTTGAACGTCCAAAATGGCATCTGAAAGTGTTGTTGGGGGTAGGTGCTTAGAATTCGAAAGGACAGATGTGGGGACCCTTGCACAGCTCTCTCTTTATTCCACAGCTCTAACTTTAAAAAATTTATTTATTGCCGGGTGTGGTGGCGCACCCCTTTAATCCCAGCACTCGGGAGGCAGAGGCAGGCAGATCCTCTGTGAGTTCAAGGCCAGCCTGGTCTACAGAGTGAGTTCCAGGCAGCTGGAGCTACAGGGAGATCCTGTCTCAAGAAGACCAAAAAAAAAAACAATTTTATTTTTTTATATTTATTTTTAGGTGTATGAATGTTATGCCTGCGTGTGTATAAGTGCAGAGAATGAAAGGGGGCATTGGATCCCCTAGAACTGGAGTTGTGGACGGTTGTTAGCTGCCATGTAGGTGCTGGGATCTGAACCTGGGTCTTCTGCTCTTAACTGCTGAGCCATCTCTCCAGCCCCGTGCCACCCCCCACAGTTCTAACTTTAAAGCCAGATTAAAAACAGCACGTTTCCAGGGCCTCCCTGACTGATGCTACAACCTCCAGAGTAACAGATTCAATTACCCATCTGTCTGTTACCAAATCCTTTCCTAGAGTCCAAGAGAGTCCCAACACACCTAAATATGTCCTCATACCAGGGCCAGGCACTGAGGGGACACCAGAAATGTGGAACAACACATAGACTTCCAGGACAAACAGTAAACCTTTGTATCTTAAGACAGCCTTGAGAGTCAGCCAGACTAAGTTCCAACCTCTGCTCTACCCTCCTGCAAACTGTGTGATTCAGGCAGTCCCTGGCCCTCTCTGAGTTTGCATCCTCAAGGGTAGAATGAAGACAATAATCCTATTGTCTACCACTCTGGGTGCTGCAAGAACAAAAAACCAGCAAAGGACCAGACCCCCTTGGCACACTGCTGAACATGGGACGTAGAATGTCCACTTAGCAACCACTGACTGGATAAGAGGCAGAAAGGAAAATCTCAGAGTCCTGGCACCATAGGGAGCTAACAGCAGAGCAACAGGATTAAGCTGCATGGGACACCCTGTAACCAAGCCATCCACGAGCCTAGAGAGCAAAAGGCCTGGAGTCTGGAAGAATCAGCTGCTCTTAGAGAGAACTTTAGTTGGCATAGGGCTCCAATGCAAAGGACAATGGGAAGCTTGCATTCTCAGACATTTGGGAGTAGGAATGTCTTTACTGAACACCTACAAGATGTCCAGTGCTAGGAATCCAGGGAGAAGGGGAACAGATTTAATTAAGGCTGCTGTCAGGGACAGTAGGGGCTGCAAATGACAGCAGTGGCTTACGGGCACAGGGCCAGAAAAGGGATCCTGGTGCATTGAGAGTGGGGGAAGAAAGGGAGGTCAGGTTGTCTCAGGAAACAGCACCTGAGCTAAGTACTAGGGGGTAGAGACAGGAGGGTGACCAGGGTAGGGAGGTGAGAAGATGTAGAAGATGCAGGGCTGGAAACCAGCTTGAGTGAGACCCAGGACAGGGGGCCTATGAATCCCGTAAAGAAGCTAAACCAGCAACCCCTGAGGAAATCCAGAGGCTCTGAAGGTTGTGGGGCGGGGGGTGTTAACAGGGCCAAGGGTCACTCCTTCTAAAGGTAACAAGCTGGATGGCTTACTGCAGGCATGGGTCTGGCAGAAGTCTGTACTCTGGTCTACACTGCTCCAGGCTAGGATGAGCCAGTCACAGAGCAGAGGGAAGAGGCAAGCTTGGTGCTACAGAGAAAAAACCCACTGTCAGAAAGTGAGAAGGCAGCTGCCTGGCCCGGGGGTCCAGGCTTGGGTTGGCTGTTTGAGTGACACTGAGGCATTCTAAGAACAAACCTAGACAGGGCCAGACACCAGATAGCATGTCTCGGAAGACTCCCAAGGACCACTCCATGAGAAGCTATGAAAAGACACAATTAGGGAGAAATACCAGCTGCCAGTGGAGAAGGCTGCAAAGTGGACACCCAGGGCTAGACCTGGTAGGGGTAGGAGGACAGAAGGCTGACAAGAGCAGCGTTTGGAAGTACCACAACTTTCAGGAAAGCCAGTTAGCAGTTTCAGCAAAGTGATGGGGCAGCAGCCAGACTGCAGGATTAGGGAGAGCAAGGACAGAAGGCAGCAGGTGTCGAGCACTTGTGGGGAAATGTGAGAGGAAAGACGAAGCCAAGCTTATGGCTCACACTCATGGCTTTGCTTTTTTCAGACGGTAGCTAAGTGGCAGTCAGAGACACGGAGGGAAGGTGCAATCCCCCTGGGTGCGGGGGCGGGGCGAGGCCTCAGCGACACAGGCCTCTCTCTCCCCTGCCTCCTGCTGCAAGATCAAAGCTTCCCTGCTGCACAGACCAAGGTGATACGGATCGTTCACCAGGATGCCCTATGCTCACATCTCTCTGAGGTCGGGTTTCCACCTTCAGCATCCGGCTGCTCCCCAGGGCCACGCTGAGGCGTGTTAGGCCATAGGGGTGCAAAGTCGGGTCGCTCAGCACTGGGACAATTGGTTGAAGATCAAGCACCTCGGAGCTCCCAGAAGAGTGCTCTCTGCATGCCAGAAAAGGGATGCATAGACGGCCTAGGGGCCCCTGGGAGCCGAACAGTCATCATGTTGAGCTGGTGAAGGCGCCCAGTGGATTGAAACACTGCCCCTAAACCTCTGCCTGACCGCACGGAGAGGGTTTCCAGGGCAAAACGGGCTCGCCATGGAAGAAAGCCTCCATCCCGCACTTGCACCTCTGGAATCCCAGTCCTGGTAGCCTGCCCGAGGGTGGAAGCCAAAGGTCAGGACCAAGGACCCTCCAATAGTGCCGTGATGCCAATCATCTGGAGCATCGGATCCTCCCAGGTGTACAAGGGCAGGGGGGCAGCGACACCCCCATGCCAATCATCTGGAGTGTCTGATCTCCCCCTAAGTGCAGAGGACAGCGACACTCCCGTGCCAATCATCTGGAGCGTCGGAACCTCCCAGGCGCACAAGGGCAGCGGCCCCGGCAACCTCGCAGGCCCCTCCCTCCGCAAGTGCGCGCTCGCTCCAGTCGGCACTTGTTGACTCACTCGCGCCTGTGCTCGCCAGAGCGCCGCCTGCCGTCCCTGCCCTCTCCGCGGTCCGCGCCGCTCGCGCGCCCCTCCCCCACCGGCCGCCCCCGCCCGGCGACGCCACGCGCTGGGGAAACGCCCGCGGCCGAGCTGCACGCCGCGCCGAGTACCCCTAGCGAGCCGCACAGCGCGGGGCTGACCCCGGCCCTTCCCCGGCAGCTCAGGTGCAACCCTGGGTCACTGGCGAAGCCCGAGGCGGGACGGCGTTCGGCGCCAGGCCCTGCCCGTGCCCCAACGGTCCCCAGGGATCGTCCCCACCCCGGGTTCCAACATCTTCCGGATCTGAGTCCCATTCTGGGGCTACGATGTGCACCACCTCTAGCCCCTACCTCGGAGCCAAACACACTCCTTCACCCCAAGAGACTGGGTCGCGATAGGGGGGCGGCCCCACTTGAGCCACACTTACCTGGGGGTTCGCCCCGGCCGGGCGCGCTCCCTCAATGCCCTCTGGCGGCGGCCGCGGGTACCCGGTGTGCGCCCCGCCCCGGCCCGCCCCTCTCCAACCTGGGACATGTTCCTGCCGGCTGAAGGGCTCAGGCCTCAGGCTACCTACTAGACAACATCCCCTTTGGATGGCTCTTCTTGGCATAAAACAGATCCCGAGAGCTTCTTTTTGTTACGGATCACAAACAGCTCTGTTTTTTTTCTTGAAGCAGCTTCAAACCTCTAAAGCCGAATCTAAGTATTTATAAAAACGACCCCTTCTAATCAACCCCAGGAGGCAAAAGAAAGGGAGAGTTTGTAGAGCCTGCAACAATGCCTGGCACTAGCTGGAGCCCCTACTGTATTTGTTGAATGAATGAGTGCTGTTCTGGTCGAGGCCCAAATGGAGGCAGCTTGCTTCTGTCTCCGAGGAAGCGACCCCACAGCTAAAGTTCTCATCTTTGTCTTTGCCCTACCACTTCAAAAGGATCAGCTGTGTTCTCCATTTCCACCCGCCATGAGCCTGAATAATTGTTGTGCCTCCTGTGATTCCAGGTCGAGTGGAAACAGTGTTACTTTCCATCCTTTAGGGGCTAAACAGACTAAATGTTTCTTATGAAATAATTTCCCTAGATGGCCTTGGAAATCGGAGTGAAAGTCTAGGCATCTTGGTAGACAGATGAACTCAGCAGGCCTGACTGGCACCCGGGTCTTGACAACCTTCATTTGAGTTCTAGGTCTTCCCTAGGAAAAATGTGCGCTTGAGTGAGTCAGTAAGTGAACCCTGCAGGAGACTTTCTGCAGTTCCGAAATGTGTAGCTGTCCTAGCCATGAGGGACATGATATTGAATGTTCTACCTAAATTTTGCTTAATATAAATTGCCGTTGTGCACTACACAATGGAACCTAAGCTTCAGTGTCTCTGTGCAGAAGGGAGAGGAGAGTGGTCCCCACTAAATGGGATCCTGCAGGGGAAGCCCCTGGCCCAAGGCCTGGCTCATTGTAAGGGTCAGTGATGGAAACTGATTGTCATCATCTCCACCTCCTCACTTCACTATCCCACAGATCTCCAGGATGCACTACCACCTGCCCACCCACAAGCTCCCTTCCAGGAGTTGCTTTGCATAGACTGTTACAGCATGCTCAGTCTCTGAGGTGAACCAGCCTCTTTTTGACTGGCCATGAGAAAATGACCGCTACCTGATGAGGGGTTGCCTCCCTGTGGTACTCCTAGCCACAGCCACAGTGCCCCTTTTGAGTCTGCAGAGCAAGTCTTTTTGTCCCCTACTAGCAAAGTTTCCGGTGGGCCCTTTTTGCACTTCCACTGGGTACTGAGGTTGAACTGAGGGCTCCTGGGGTTCATCTAAACTTTGTGTCATAAGTCTCCCACATGGGGCCCCCAGCAGTAATACAACCAACCAGCTTTATGTGGCTGTTACCTGGAGGCATTTTGCATCTGAAAGCAGACACAGCCTCACAGCCTCCTGTCCTGCCCCAGTGTGAGATGGCCTCATCCTCACCATGGCTTCCACATGCTCCTGATGAGGGGGTGGGACACACTTCCACACACGCCTCCATGTCTCTGTGTGTACATGCACACCACCATAGGCCTGTCATACTGATGATCTCTTGCTCCAAGATCCTAGAGAGATACCCTTTTATTCTTGCCAACTCTTCTCATCTTGTGGGGAAGAGCCTCTCTACATCTACTTAGCAAACTTCGCACTTTTTCTGGTCCAAGCAAACTCCTTTCTTGAATTGGATTACAGATGAGACTATGGTGTAGCTCAGTGGCAGAGTGCTCCTAGGCTTGATCCTCAGCACTGAGAAGACTAAAACAAAACAAAAATCCCTGGCCTCGTGGTGGTGTGCATTTGTAGTCCCAGCTACTCAGCAGGTTGAAGCAGACCTTGAGATCAAGGTCAAGGTCGGAGTCATCCAGGGCAGAATAGGCAATATAACAAGAACCTGTCAAAAACAAGAGAAAAGATTACAGGGACTACTGATGTATATACAATCTTTTAAAGACCCTGTATCCCAGACTGGCCTCAAACTCTCTATGTATTGGAGGATGACCTTGAACTCCTGATTCTCTTACCTCTAGTCCTAAGTACTGGGATTTCAGGCATGTGCCACCACATTGGTTTATGTAGTACTGGGGACCAAATGCATGCTAGGCAACCATTCTACCAACGGAGCCATATCCCCAGACCTTATAATCTTGCCAGCTGTAAACCCACCTGTTCTCTAAATAGGCAGACTCTTCACTCACACGTCAACAGGAAGTCATTGTTTTGCAACAGAGAGTAATTATGTTGAGATACCAGGGACACAGGTGAACAAACTAGAACAGCTTCTGCCTCCCAAAAGCTTTTACACTAGAGACTGGACTTCAGTAGAAAACTGGAATTTGTTCTAGAATGGAGAAACTCCTCAATAAAATCTGCTTTTTCCTCTGACACTTTTACATGATAAACTTTAGTGAAGAACTCAGAAAAGTGTTGAGTTTCAACACCAACAGTTCAGGACATCAGAGGCAGGGTGGGTCCCAATGCAAGAACTCTACTGGGCATGGTGGTACATACCTGTAGTCTTGGAACTTGGGAGGCAGGAGGATCAGGAGTTCAAGGTCATCCTTGGCTACTTGAGACCCCGGTTAGAAAACAAAACCAAAAACAACAAAAGGCAAGAATGTTGAGGGCCAGGAGGACCAAAGTGAAGATGGATCGTGCTTTGATTTTAAGGTCTGGAGGAGGGCTGGGGAGATGGTTCAGGTGTACAGACATGAGAACCTGAATTTGACCACTAGAATGCACATGAAAAAGCTTGGTGTAGCCAGGTGTAGTGGTGTTCGCCTTTAGAGATAGGTGGATCTTTGTGAGTTCAAGGCTAGCCTGGTCTATATAGCAAGTTCTACACAGTAAGATCCTGTCTCAAGTAAACAAACAAGCTGGGTACAGTGGTGTACACTTGCTATCCTAGTCCTAGGGAGGTAGAGCAGGTAGATCCCAGTGTTCTCTGGCCAGGCAGGCTAGATACTTGGCAAACTCTAGACCAGTGGAAAAAAAAGAGAAGTGGGGCAGAACATGGTGATGCACACCTTTAAACCCAGCACTTGAGATGCAGAGGCAGGTGGATCTCTGTGAGATCAAGGCCAACCTTGTCTATACAGCAAGTTCTAGGCCAACTGGGGCTTCAGGGAGACCCTGTTTTTTTTTAAAAAAAAACAAAACAAAACAAAACAAAACCAAGGTGGGGTATTGGAGTTCAGATCTCCAGAACCCATGTAAGCACCAGGTGGGTGTGGTGGCAACCTGTAATTCCAGTGAACAGAAGACAGAGAGAGGCAGGGGATCCTGGGAACAATCTGGGTAGCCAGATTAGTCTTGTCAGTGAGCTCTGGGTTCAATTGAGAGACCTTGCCTCAATGAATAAGGTGGAGAACAATTGAGAAAGACTCCCAATGTCAACCTCAGGCCTCCACATTTGCACACACACACATACAACTGGAGTAGCAGAGCTGACACCTGGGTATTAAGAGTTCTCAGCCCTCAGAAGCCAGGGCAGGAGAATCATGAGTTCAGAGTCAGCCTGGGCTACATAGCAAGACCTGTTTCAGAAAAATAGAACAGGGACCCGAAAAATGGTTCAGGAGGTAAAGGTGCTTGGCACTGAGCTGGATGACCTGATTTCAATCCCCATAACTCACATCATGGAAGGAGAGAACCAACTCCCACAAGTTGTCCTCCGACCTCCACACATGTGAACTATACGTGCCACCCCAATAAATTAATGTGAAAAACAAAACAACAACAACAACAAAAGGAGTTATTTCTCAGAATATTCTTTGGTTCTTTCTGCATATTGGCTCCTTGCCCTACATTCCCAAGAGCATAGCAGTTGTGTGACTTAGACACTGAGATCATCTCATGAGGATGGGTTAATGCTCCAGCTGTTCAGCAACCTCGCATTAACTGGGGAGAACAGAAACACACAGGGTATGTGTGTACACATGAGCACATTCTACTGTACACAGCAGAATGCCTGTTGTAAGCTGTTATGGCAACAGCTCAGCACACAGGCCTGTGTGAGGGAAGACATGCCCCCCCAACCCTATTTCACTGCTCTGAAAAGTGATCCATGCAGACCATAAGTACTTTACCCAAAGTCATACAACTAGGTGGTGGCAGTGCTAAGTGATTAGCCTGGATGTCTAACTCTAGAGCCCAGGGTCATAGCCACTCTGCTTCCTTACCCCTGTGGGCTACATAAGACAGAAAGACTTGGGTGTCAGCCTCAGTGTGGAGGGACACAAGTGGAGTTTTTCCCAGGAAACCCTGGGGCAGAGATTTGAGGGAAGAGTAGGATTCTGGAAATGGGCCATACAAGGAGGACGTGACAGGCAGGGGGATAGCACAGAGAAAGCCAGCAAAGGAGTTTTGGAAAGTTGGTTGTAGAAAATGAGGAAACAGAGCAGAAAACAAACAGCAGGGTAGGTTGGGACTGATGTAAGGGCCTAGTATACCTCACCAAGGATGTAGGTCTTAATGAGTCCATGGCTTCTAGAATGGGTGTTTAAATTCTGAGGCTTCATCAAGAAATAGTCAGGGCTGGGGATGTAGCTCAGCTGGTAGAGTGCTTGCTTAGCATGCATAAGGTCTTGAGTTCAGTCCCCAGCACCACATAAAACCAGGCATAGTGGCCTATGCCTATAATCCCAGGACTTGGAGGATCAGGAGTTCAAGAGTATCCTCAGCTAGAGAGAGAGAGTTAGAGGCCAATCTGGGCTAATGAAACCTTGTCTCAAGTGAAATAAAGAGAACTCAGCTGGTAGAGTGCTTGCTTAGCATGCATAAGGTCTTGAGTTCAGTCCCCAGCACCACATAAAACCAGGCATAGTGGCCTATGCCTATAATCCCAGGACTTGGAGGATCAGGAGTTCAAGAGTATCCTCAGCTAGAGAGAGAGAGTTAGAGGCCAATCTGGGCTAATGAAACCTTG